TTGATGTTCTTGATCTCTGATTTGATAATGTTTCGATAATACTGATAAATTATCATTTGGAAGCGACTAAGCGTTAAATCGACGTTGAATGTTTTTTTTTTCTTTAGCCGACAATCGATTTATGAGGCGATGAGGTGAAACAGCAGCAATCGTTCCGCATTGAAATGAGATGAGCGGCTTGGAATGTTTACATTTAATTTAAATTGTTTTCATGAAGCGGAAATCTGTCAACGGAGCACCGATTTAAAAGCACATTTGGCTCTCATATATAAAATCAAATGAAAAACAGGCATAAGCTAATGAATATCGCTTTATTTACTGCGGTCTCTTTTGCGTCCACCGAAACTCATCTCTTTTTCTCTCTATCTCCCTCCTTCCCACCTTCCCTCTCTTTCCCATTCCAACTGAGAATCGAATTCTCGCGGCGACCGGCTTCACGACTAGAACAAACATTCAAAGTCGTTAATCGAGAGTGCAAACCGCGAACGTGTGTCACTTCGGTAAACACAAACACATCGAACGAGCAAGAGTGAGAGAGCCACAGATCTATCGCGTGCGATATTGAATGCTTAAATGAATTACGGAATTGCCCATTAAAATTAATAAATTCAGTTGTGCAAAAGATTTGTTGTGTGCGTCCGCGTTTGCTATTTTTAGCACTACATGGAATGTAGGCTACTGTAGTTGTTTTTTTTCCCGAAATTTTTTAAGAGTCTTTAGGCCATTTTTTTGGACCGTAAATTGATTCATTCTAATATCCATATTTTCTATTTGAAATGAAGCAATTACGCCTAATTGCAAACATGAAATAAAATCATGTTCTTGTAATTCACTTTTGCGATAACTCAAAAAAAAATCATGATCATTCACATTGTATGTACATAAAACACATAAGTGAAGAATACAATATCATCATATAAATTTATTTAATTTAACAATATTAAAATGATTTGCATACAAAAAAGTAAACTACGATTAAAACTACATGCCATGTAGTGCTTACGATGATAATTTGATGAGAAACATCAAATTAATTAAACTCCTTAAATTTACAAGCTTCAAGAACGCAGAGCGGAGCGAAGCGAAGATCTGCGGTCTTGTTTATTCTCTTCTCATATGCGCGGCCGCTTCAGCGAAATATAAAAGCATCCCAATTCAGAATTATCACCGTGCATGTGTGCATTGAAATGAGCGATCGAGTGCTTCACTAAACATTCGATGTGCTGTGTTGTTGTTGTTTATTTTGCTCTGTTATTGTGTTGCTGCTGCTGCTGCTGCGCCGTATTATTATTATTTCTGTGTTGTTTTTCGTTCTTAATTCCATTAATGTGTAAATATGACTTTGCGATGACATAATATGCACAGACATTATCTTCCTCTTATTCGTCGTCTGCCTCTTCTTCTTTCTCTCTCTCTCTCTCTCTCTCTCTCTCCCTCTCTCTCTCTCTCTCGTCATGTGTTGTTGTCGGTGTTCTTTTTTAATGTTTGTCGCGCGCGCATTTGTGGTTCCATCACTTTAGTCGAGAGCTGCACACAAACACACAAAAAATCGATCATGTTTATTTTGTACTCCGGAATAATTCGCATTAATTTTGCATTTGTTTCCATTTTTATCAGTTTATGTACGTGCGTGTGTGTGTGATAAGCGAGCGAATTGTTAAAACATGTTTTTTTTTTCTTTCATATTAACGAAAATAAAAGCCGCAAGGCTAAAATTATAATGTAAACGTGTTGACAACGGGTATGCGCTCGCTGGCTCGTTCGCTTGCTCGCATCAAACCCATTGTTGAAAACTGTAAATATACGGTAATTAGTCAAGTCATGGATTAAAAATAATACGCATAAATTTTCATTGAGAGACGTATCGACGTCATTCGCCCCGCATACGAAAGAAAACTATCAGATCGGATTTAAAGCCACCGAAAAGAAACCGACTAAAGACGAAGAAAAAAAACTCTGAAAACGAAACATAAGGCAATCTATATTGAGTATGTTGTTCTTTGGTCAATATGTGTGACTTTTTTTTTCCTTCTTCATCGTCTTCGTCTTTATGGCAGTTCGTTGGCTTCAATCACGTTGGCGTTTCGCTTAAATACATCACTGAACTTTGCAATTACGTGTTCCCCCTCGTTGCCATCGAACATGAAATTTGAGACAAATAAACAGCAACAAAATAACACGAAATGCATCCCATTAGCCGAATCCGAATGAGCATTTCAGGGGAAATTTACGGCATATCGTTAATTCACTCTCTTTTCATCTCACGCCCTGCTCGCCCATTTGCTCCGCTCGATCTTATTGTCTTTCATTCTCTCATCACAACTGGAGAGCCATTCGATCATTTTTCTCTTTAATTTGGCTGGTTTCTCTCTTTGACAATTCATTTTCGCATTCATAGCGACAAATTAAATTGGACACGATCATTCATGTCTAGTAGTAGAAATGCATGCCAAAAACTTGGCCATAGATGATTTTTGATATCTCGGAGCGTGTGAGCAAGCGAATAAGAGAGAGAGAGAGAGAGAGAGATAGAGAGAGAGAGAGAGAGAGAAAGCATGAACAACGAGTGCCTTAACATCATGATTTCATAATGAGCGATTCATCAACTCTGCGCTCATCGTCGTCGTCGTCGTCTCGTTGAATATGAAGTGAAGTGAAATACTTGACCTATGAGAGTTGTTCCTATAAATAGCCGACCGAAAAAAAAAATTCGGTCGAATGAACAAATAAAAACGGGCAACAGCAAATACAAGGAGATAAAGAAAAAAAAGCACACGAAACGATGATGAAGGAGAAAAAAGAAGAAGAACGTCACGAGATGACTATAATGACTTTTCTATACAGTCATCGCGAGCATAAGAATGAATTGCAGCATCTTTGAGAATGAGTTTTGATTGCAAAAGCCATGCGACAAAATAAATATGAACCGCATCAAGATGGATAAAAAAAAGTATAAGTTGAAGATGGGTAAATGCGCACGGGAGATTCAAACCGTAGAACAAATGTTGTGGACGACATACAACGGAGCGAGTGAGTTGAGAAGACGAAGGCAGAATAATGAAGAAGAAGGCGAAAAAACAACGAAAAAAAAATTGCTGCATAAAAAGACGAATAAAAATATATATACTAACAAAATAAAGTGCCAATTCCAAAAGCAAGAGAGAGAGAGAGAATGCCGAGAATATGGTAGAAAGGCGCAAGAAAACCGGTAACGAATAAATTCAGTTGTTGTTTGTCTCTATTTCGTTCGTTGGTGTGCAGTTTATTTTTTATTTGCTTGTTGTTGCACTCTCCATTCACTCGAATGAGTTTGGTGCAGTGAGGTAGTGTATGTGTATGTGCATTTTATTATCGGAACGGCTTTACCGCCACCGCCATCACTGTTGTCTCCGCCGTCGCTGCACCAGCACCACACAATGTATGGATAATCACCAGAAAATGTAAAATCGAACAACCGAAATAATAATTGTATCTCATTGCAGCCGAACCGTCTATAGTGAATGTGATGCATGTAATCTATTACGAACGGTGTAATCCAAACATATGTGCAATGATCGGTGTTCGAATGCTGCAATTCGAAGCTTTGGCTCTCTGTTCGTTCGGTGTTCTGGTGGAAAAACCGAAATATGTGTGTGCCCATGTGTGTTGGTTGAGCTTTGGACGACGACGACGAGGACGACGATGACGATGGTGAGCGTTTCGGTTGTTCGACGATGATCGCGGAATCGAATGAATCAACAGAAGGGAAAATTGAACAACAGGACCCTGTCGGATGCAAGCCAGCCACATGAATGCGGAATTCACTTTGTGAATCCGCGCTTCCATCCCATAAATACGCTCTCACACAACAAAACACTCACGCTCACAATAACCGTAAAAGCGATTTATCCATTGGCAATGCGAATATACTAATGCGAATGACAAAGTCTACGGAGAGACTATTGCTGACATAATCGAAAAATATGGTAATCGCACACCGACGACGATGACGACGACAATTGCGACGACGATGAGCGGACGCGGATACGACGGTATATATATGTTGATTGGATTGGGCGCAAGCGCATACAATACGGCATTCAACACGGACTGGCCACGGATATACCAATGCGATTCAATGCATGTTGCATACAGAACAGAACCGAACGGAATGGTAATGCGAATGGCAAACGGGATTCGAATACGAATCCGATAAGAATTTTTATTCGGCAGATTCCATTGAATGTGCGACGCATTTCCATATACCATTTCAGCACACAGCTTCTCTTCAGGTCCCGAAGAATGCAACCTACGGGCGAAAACCATTTGATTTCGTCATTTCCACATGTGACAGCAGAAAATAAGCCGCTTCGCTTCTTAATCACATGCTTAACATATTGAAGGCCAGTTTTTTTCTGTTGCTGTTAGTGTTGATTCATACCGTTTTTTACGTTCATCGCTCTCTTTTTTTCGATCTGTCCGACTTATATTTGATTCTCTGTCGATTTTGAACAATATCGTTCCAAAAAGGGCCGCATGTGGGATGACAGATCAAGTTCGATCGAATGCAATACACGTTGATTGGTCAATGTGCGCGTCGATCGGTCACATTCAACCGCATGTTTTACCAAATTTAGCATTCATTCAAATACAGCAGACTGCCGTTGCTGTGTCCGTTACAGCTGCTGGCTGGCCAAAAAAAATCTTCTTATTAGATTCGATGCAGAAACGATACTTCCAAGGCAGAACACACAACACATTTTATGCACACAATCTTCTCTGTCGCGCGCTCACATGTGATATGACACATTCGTCCAATTGTGTATTGCACACGCACGGCATCTCTCATGCAGGCACGACTTGTGTTCGTATGGCATATGCGTCCGCATTGCTCATGCCGCCACCATCGCCGTCGTTGCCGCTACGTCCGCTTCCTAGCGGCATCTCTCATCACAGAAGCCGCATTGTGTTGTGTACACCATACACATACACGCGCTTCTGATATATCATACGGTGTGTATGGTTCAGTCGTCTTTTCGGTTCTGTTTGTGGGAATGTTCAAAAAAGACGAGTTGACACACTCGAATTCAGTCTACGAGCGACTACGTGTAAGAAAGGTCGCGCTAATTCGCATCCCCGCAACACAACAACAACTACAACAAAAAACCAAATTTATTTACATAAAAGAGCGAACGAAAAAAAAGAGTCATAACAAAAACAAAATACAAAAATAGAGAGAGATAAAAACGAGATCGTTTTGCCGCTTCTTGCTTTTAAAACGTTGAAATTAATTTTTTTTGTAAGTCCCGGTGAATTATCCATATAGCGTACAATGAAAAAATACCAGCCAATTTTTCAACGAGCTGTCCAATTCAAATAAAATTCGAATGCATGGTTAGATCAAGCGCTGATAAACAAATCAACAACAAAACACACCGAGCGAGCAAAAAGAACACATTAGAATTGAACAAATAAATCAAAGTTAAAAAAAAATTCTGCTATCGATTCCTCTATACTTGTAATAAATAAAATAAAAAATTGTTTGGTTCCTTGAAAGTAAGCCGAGAAAAAGCGAAACATCATCACACAGCATTTTATCGCGAAAAGTAGAAGCAAGCGAAAAAAAAAATACACACACACAACACAACGAGATTGTTTGCTGCATTGAGAAAACAGCAAGAGCAGAAAAAAAAGCAACGAGCGCAACAGCATTCGTCATATTTTGAAATTAAGACGAAAACAATTTTTCGTAGTTGTAACGCTTTTTCTTCACTTCTTCTTCGAGAGAAAGAAAGAGAGAAAGAGAGTGTGAAATAAATTTTGGTGAAGCTAATCTCGCAAAATTGTGATTATATTTCATTTCGTTTTTTTTTTATAATAAAGTAAGGTATTAAAAAAAATCGAAAGAAAAAACCACGAGAAAGTGAATTGACTCGAAAACAAAGGGAAAAAGTTATATTAACAAAAAAATCATAAACAAAACTAAGCGTGACAACCTGTAAAGGGACCGACCGAAAATCTGCAAATTCCATTGATCGCGCACAAACTTTGGTGTCATTCGATAGAAACAACAAACAAACACAAAAAATTAAACGATTTTATTTGTCGGATTTCTGTGTGTGAATATTATTAGCCCAGTGAATTTATGTTGTTTTGAGTGAAAGTTACAATACGTTTCGGCAATATTATATTTTATATATCGTTTGGACGACAGAAGCAAACACAAAAAAAAAAGATTATAAATATTATAAAATTGAAGAAAAAGGAAAACAAAGAAAAAAATTCCGTGGTGCTTTCGATAATACGCAATAAAAAAAAATCAAGCGAGAGAAAAAAGAAACACAGTCTGGATTCAGCTTGTGGCGAAATTCACTATCGAAAATTAATGTGTGAGTGATTCAAATTAATTTGTTGGTTTTTTTTATTGTTGTTGTCGTTGTTGTATTCTCTGTTGTTGTTTTTTTTGCTTCATTTGACTTAAAATATACTACATATATATATATATTGAAAGTTGACAAAAATTGTCGAAAAAGCAACAGCACATAAACAACACAGAGAGACACACATGCATGATCCTCATCGTCATCATCATAAACATCGTCGTCGCACACAGTGTGTAAGTGAGAGAGATGCGATCTCTGTCGCATTTTGGGCCCCGAATCGACGAATCTAGAGGCGGCCCGATACCGCTTTTAGAATTTTTCGGAGCCCCAAAACACAGTGAACGCACCGCTACAGAAAAAAAAACCGATGGGAGAAAGAGAGAAATACACAGAAAATAAGATGGCACAAAAACAGAACGATTTTAATTTCGGCATCATAGAAGAGAAAAATTCATAGGCATAAAACGTTTCTCTCAAGAGAAAGAGAAGGAAAAAAAATTGCAGAAAAAATGAATAAATGAATGAGAATGAATGAATGAATAAATGAATAAAACGAGATAAAATGCTGCGATTGTGCAACACTCAAACAACTCACACACACATAATGTCAACAACGACGAAAACAACTTGAAATAATAATAATTTCCCCCAAAAAAAAACAAATCATCCAAAAAAAGTATTTTTAAAATGATTTCAATCGGTGTGCGTTTTTATTTCGGTTTTTTTAAATGAGCTGCGACCGCTTATAGTTTGCACTTTTCCCTGAGCACAGATTTTTTTTTCTTCTTTCGGTGTATTAAATATATTTTGTTTGTGTTGTTTCGGTCGATACACCGAATATGTAGCAACAGAAAAAAGGAGCGAAAGACGCGGCCGCCACCGCGGTCACCGTGTGCGCTCTACAACACGCCGACGATGATTTTAATTTTGATGTAAAATATGAGCTGATGCTGTTTTTCTCTCGTCTGTTTCTTCAAATATCGAGAGAGTGAGTGTGTGAGAAAGAGAACGGCACAGCGATTTCTCGCACTGTTAAACCATAAAATATTCCGAATCGCGGCCCTGAGATACGTTCTTTTTTCTCAATCCTCTCATTTCGTTCTTGTACTCGGCCGACCGAGTGTGAAATGGCAAGTGAGATATCCAAAGCCGAATACTTATAGCGCGCACACACATCGCCGAAATCGGGAATTAGAACGAAAAATATGCATACGAATGGGTGCGGGTGAAGCGACTCAATGCGTGTTATGGTTCTAATTTTTTTTAAATAAACGAAAAAAAAAACGTAGCGATGAACGACGGAACATGTGCTTTCTCTCTACACAGTCAAAACGTTCATCTCTCGCGCTGGCTTGCTTCTCCGTTTTAATTGCAATTGATCATTCGCCAATGTGTGCTCATCACATAATTTGTGATCTTTGGCGCAGCAACAAGTCAAATTCAAAGTACATTTGTTTTCTTGGCATCATCAAACATTTGCTAGAGATTACTTCGTGTTAAAATGCCACCGAATTAGCTAAAAAAAAACGTTGAATCGGAATAATTGACTCTTTCTTTCTTTCTTTATTTGTCGGCGAGTGCACGTGAACCGTTCGCTGTGTGCATGTGTGTGCGTGCGCGTGAGCGCGGATACACATTTTTGAATGTGGTGTGTTCCATACGCGCCGTAAAATACACATACAAAAAAAAAACGCTGTGAACGGGCTCCAAGTTAGTGTGGTATCGATAACGAGCATTCAAGGCGAGCTCACATATGGGTGAGAAAGAGAGAGAGAGAGAGAAAGAGAGACAGAATCCAAAAAATATACAATCGAAACTCAAATATGAAGAAACGAAAGAAAATATAAATATACAAACACACACACACACATCGAGCGAGCATATTGTGAACTTGTGTGCTGTTGGTTCGCATATCGCGCTTATTGCAAAAGGAACACGAACCGATAAAGTGGCAACTGATGTAAGCAACACACCAACGCGTTCGCTCGCGATAGCTACAGAAAACCGAACAAAGTAAATAATCAAAATAAAGTAGATTTTTTTCTCTTCGATTTTGTTGGATCGGTTGGTCGGTTGGTTGCTTGGTTGATATTGACAGAGAGTGAAACAGAAAAACTTATAAAAACGCACTTTGGCAATGGGTTTCGAATTAAAGTGTGTGTGTGTCTGTGTGTTTGCCAGAGCGAAAGAGAGAATGCTCATAAGTAGCCAGTAAAATATATGAATTTCGAGAGACTCAGTCAGGCCATTTATTGAAAACACGACGAAAGGCGCGAGCGAGCAATTGTGAGAGCACGCGGAGTGAGAGAGAGAGAGAGAGAGAGCCAAAGCGAAAATAGAAAACTGAAAACCACACTGCGCTAAAAATAACCATCCCTATGTTCCAAAGCAGCAGCAAAATATAAAAAGAAAGAAGATGCGAAAGAATGAAAGGAACAGAGAAAAAACATACGACCAACCGATTTTTGAATGTACACACAACTTTTCGAACAAATACACACTCACAGAGAGAGAGAGACACACACACACATACACACACTAAAAATGAAGAAGAAAATTTGAGGAAAAATCCTTAGTTACAATAAATAAAATAGACCCAAGCAATATCTCATTTTTTTCCCTCTTCTTTTGACAATGATACACCAAAACAAATGGACAAGTGATGTGAAAGGAAGCGCCGCTGTTCGTTCAGCCGCCACTGCTACTGCTGCTGCTGTTTTCTTTCCAAATTTTCGGTCGGAAGAGACCACCCTTGATTTTGGGTTCACGTTGTCACATTCCATTTTTCATCGGCTAGAGTAAAAATCCATGATTTGTTTTCCGCTATTTCTTTGACACACAAATACAATCGCTCTCTCATTTGTTACGTCAATCTTTGTCATTCAACTGGATCTTTGCAAGGATTTATAAAGTAAGCAATTTATTGCAGTTGACACAAAAGCCGAACACACACAGAGAGCTAAAAAAAAAATCCATGTGTGTGTATGTACGACCCATAATATTTATACGCAATTTAATATTATTCAAATGAAATTGGCGATTAGCGTCAAAACATCAGTCCATTTGAGCAAAGTGTGTGCAATTTGGCATACAATGCGAATCCAAAAACCACTTGCCAATTTTATCCATTTACACTTGATATAACTCTCATATCAAATGTACATTCCGAAGCGAACGACGCACGAAGCACAAAAGAAAGCAAATAACAACAGCACAGAGAAAGAGGGAGAGAGAGTGGAGGGAAAAAAAATTACATTTTATGCGAAACGATATGATTAATCTCTTGACGAAATAAATAAATTAAAACGCAAAACCAACAACAGACATTGATATGTTTACGTTTGCTGCCCGCACAAATAAATTGAAAACTTATAAACCAACAGCAGAAACGGCAACAGCAGTTCATATCTTTTTGCAAAAAGGGACTCTCGCTCTCTCTCTCTTTCTCTCTCTCCCATCGTCAGTGTTGTCATTTCGCCGAAAATCGTGAAACACACAAACACACGCCGAGATAGAGACAGAGAGCGAAAGGAGGATGGCAAATAGCGTGTTGGTCTCGGTTTTTGCGAAAATATAACGACGATAGAGAGTGAGACAGGCGAAGAGAGAGAGAGAAAGAGAGAGAGCTAAACAAAATGGTATTTACTACTTGTAAAAGACGCAACCAAAAGCCAAAGTCGAAAACCCGAAATAACCATGATGAAGCAACCCTTAGTTGATTATTCAAATTATTGAGTAAATATGTAAACATGAAAAGAAAATACAAGTTTCATTAAAATGAGTATGCATAAATAAATATGGAAGATTTTCTTGTGTAACGTTGAAATGACATAGGGCGGGCATATGGACGTTTCATCTCGAGATTGAGTGGAAATCTCTGTTTCTCGCTCTGGCGCTCTCTTGCTCTGTCTTTCTCACTTTGTCTGTCTTACTCTTTTGTTTTCCTTCACACTCCGTCTTACTCTCGTTCTCGCTCTCGTTCGCACGTTCGCATGCACTCTCCGATGTTTGTGCAAGCGAAACGAATCAGTATGTTTGTGTGTTGAGAGTGCGGAAAACCGTTTCAATTTGCATCTAAATAAATAAATCGTTGCAAAGTCTAAAGTGTCAAATGTGAGCGCGTGTGTGTGTAGTGTGGAAAAATTGGTTGGGCTGCTGCTGCAACTAATTCAAACGGTTTTTCAACAAAGATCAGATCACTTACATCATTTTGCACCGCCAAATCAGCGCGAGAGACAGAGAAAAGGATTTACACACGGAAACATGCTATCGTTTGTTTCGAATGCATTCGACAACATTAAAATCATTTGCAAATGGCACACGCAAATTGACCTTGTTACGATGTGCCTTGGCTCACTTCACATTAATTCTTCATTAGAAGAATTCTCTCGCTATCACGTTGCTGCCGCTGCTGCTACTGCTGCTGCTGCTGCTGCTGCTGTTGCTGTTGCTTTTGCTGCTGATCTCATCCGACTGAGAAAATCCACGAATCGCAAACTGCTGCAAACATCTGTTGATTGTTCTTCGTTTGAAATGTCATTAAAAATGGATTTCAATCTGGCTTCGGTGTATTGCCAGCGCGTCTTAAATTTCATACGAATTGGCATCGTCCAATATCGATAGATATAGAAACTATCTGTCTTTTGCTTGATTTGCAAACTACGTGTTCTTCTAGCTTGCTTGTTTTTTTTCACACTCTCGCTGTGTTTTTATCAATGACGATAATATTAACGAAAAACTCTTTCTGTTATCATTCGCATAGGTTTGTTGATTTGCGCGCTTCTGTCCGCATCTGTGTAATCGCGAAATACCAATTGAAACGTAAGTACCTCCTTCTTCTTTGTTCATGTTCTTTTTTCATAAAGTTTCCTCTCCCTTTCAATATTTTTTTTTAGAGAGAACGAGAGAGAAGAAACGAACAAAAAAAAAATCTCGTCAGCCATTTTTAGACTTCAGTCGAAATGGAAACGACGCATTTTCTCTCTGTATTTCTGTCTCTCTCCTACTCTCTCTCACTACGAACAAGCAAATTTATCGTTCTATATTGTTCGTTCAATCGATTGCATACACCGTTACTACCGTCGTTAGCGTAGTCGTTCGTGTGCACTTGCTTATCATAATTCGAGCAAAGCGAAATATCGAAGATCGGCCATAATTGAACACTCACGACCACTCCATTACTTTACTCAATCAACTGTGGGCTCTAATAGACAATGCTCGATTCTATTTGCCTTTCGATTAAATGTTACGCATAAGCACTCAACTTGAAACCGCATTTTCTGACTTTGAACTGAATTAATTCACTTTTTTTTCGCTATTCATTCGAATTGGGCACCAATTTGCAGGTGATCGCATTTTGCCTTTGTCTCTTTTCTCTATCTCTCTATCTCGCTCTGTCTGTCTCTGTTCCATGTTTTTTCGTTCAAAATCAACTGATTTCGAGAATTTCCCGTCAATTTGAAAACCACTTGAAATTCCATTCAGAGTAGTCACATCGGTCAAAATCACGATGAACCAAAACGTGAATAAAAAATAATAGAAAAAAATGATAAGCTAAACTAATGTTTTTCTCTTCGAAACGCATTGTTCGAACAATTTCTGTTGTTGTCGAAACTGTTCGTCGTTGTCGTTGTCGTTTCCCTCGTATCGTTTGCGTTTTACAACGAAAACAAAAAAAAATGGTTTGTTGCTATCATAAAATCGGTGTGTGTTTTTTCGGTCGTGAGCACACATTTTGTCGTGGCACAAACATAAAATTCAAAAGAAAGTTTGTTTTTATCTTATCTCGAATTAAATCACCATTGGCGACGCTGATAAAATAAAATACGAATGAATTCTCCATCTGATTCTCTTTTTTCCGTCGTCATCGTCATCATTCTCTGCTGCTATTTCGTTTCGTTGACTGATTTGATTGGCGACAATAAGAAGTATACAAACAAAAAAAAATTGGGTATTTGATGCGATAAGAAAAACCGATTGGATTTAACCCTGTGGCGTACGATCAAAAAATGCTAATGATTTGTGTCAAAAATCCCATTTGCAAAAAAAAAACTGAGAAAAATCGTTTTGTCAAGAGTCCTATTCAATCTAACGGTGACATGACGTCTGTTGTTTTGATGCAAACTGAATTGACCCGAATGCTAAAATAGAACACAGTAAATAAAACCAGAAACCAGGTGGTTTCGTCCACATTCAATCAATCGGTTCACTGTTTTGAATGGAATTTTGCCGACAGAGAATCAAATAAACATAACAATCGAAAGGTTAACAGAGCGTTTTCAAGGTTTTTTTTTCTGATTCACATACTCACATGAATTTATGAACGTTTTTTTCTCTCTCCGCCGGCTCTAATCGGTAGCTTGTTTTGCCGACAACACTTTAGGTTTTCTGTATGTAAAAAAACATTCATAAAAACGATTGCAGCAATTTCAAATCAAAAACACACAAAAATGTGAGAGAAAAAACTCAATTTCTAAATTAGTCCAATTGAAATTTTTTTTTTAGCAAAAAAACCTTATTAAATCATTTGATTTTATCATAAACCAAAAACGAAAACCATTTGGGGGTGCGATTGAACTTGTGGAAAGTGATCGAATTCGAAAAACGAAAAAAAATGTGATCACTTTTGGCCGAAACCCCAAAGGTGGTGCATTTAATCAGGTTTCGATTCCTTGTTCGCTAGTCCATCATACATGTTTGTTTATTTATTTGCATTGCTTGTTTTTCGGTTTTTGGTGTGGTCGCAATGATTATGTTTTTTTTTCTTTCTCTTCATCCATTGATATGATTACAATTTATATTTTCTTCCGCGAACAAAGCGAAAAATTCCATGATTCACACATACGGGGCATTGGCTACCACATCGAACCGAAAGAAAAAAAATCCGTCGGCATTCGATCCGTGTTCAAACGACGCAGAGAGATTTCACCTATTTGTTTTTATCTTGCGATTGCAGCTTGGCACACTTGTAATCTAATGTTCAAGGTTTTCGGCACGACTCCTTTTCACTTTGGATGATTTTCGTTGCGTGCACGCCACCGTTTTATGATGGGTTCTTTTTGCCTTTGACTTTCTGTGATTACGAACGACACACAGCACAGAGAAATCCGAGTCAAAGTGGTGTGCCACGCGGAGGAGGCGGTGAAGGATGAGGATCGGAACAGAGAGTCTCGTTTTGATTTGTATGCATGCGTATAAGGGTCATTTGGTTTTATTTATTTTTATGAAGAAATCGTCTTTCGTTTCGTTTGTTTAGCGCTTTGTGTGTGTGTGTGTGTGTGCGTATGTTTGTTCTCCGTTTGTTCTCTCTGGCGGAATTGCTGTTGATATCGCGGCTTTTCATCGGCGTCGCAGATTTGCTAAATACATTTTCGTTCACTCTCTCTCTCTCTCTCTCTCTCAATCACCGTCGCGAACACATTCGCTCTCTCATTCACTTTCTGTCGACTGCAACCGTCATCACATTTATTATGTCGCACTCTAATGATGATGAGTGGAAGTGTTCCATTCTTCTTCTTCTTTTTTTTATCCTTCATCCTTCTTTTTGCGCTTTCAATTTCGAATGCGCGCACTCGCCTGCTCGCCCATGTTGTGTTTTTTCTTTCTTCTTTTCTTCTGAGTGTGTGCTGTATTGTGTTGTTGGTTTCCCATTTTCGTTTCAATTATTGTGGCTACCATAAGCGTATAGGCGCTAATAAACGAGCCTCGATTCGTCTATATGTGTACACACGGCAAGGCGAAGATCACGTTGTGAACCACCGAGATGAGGACACAAGAACTATAACAAGAACAACAATAACGGCAACAGCGGTAAAAAGCGGAGAGAAGAACTTTCAAGCATATATAAAGAATAATTCAATTATTGTGTTTGAGTGGGATTTCAATTAGAGACAAAACGAGTAGAGTGCCTCGCGCCGTGGTACCATATAGAAATTTCGTTCGTTCATAGTTGTGGCCGACGGTGCAACCATGCCACCGTCGCCGTCGTCGTCGTTTTCAGCTCTAGCATCGCATTCATCGACACGTTGACGTTATGTCGTGTGAAAAAGACGGAAATCCTGACGTTTCAAATGAATGGAAAGAAATTAGTGGATACTGAAGCGATGAATGTTCGAAGCGAGAGTTCGATGCCAAGAGAGAGAGAGAGAGAGAGAGAATAGTGGAAAAAGTGCGTGCAAACCAATTATATTGTTTCAACCAAAAAAAGAGAAAAGAATACACACCTAGAGGTATGAATGTACGGAATTGCATTGCCATTCACGATTTTCACCCAACACTTTTTTTTCTCGGTGTGCGGTGTCGGAGGATATAATATCGGTCAAATCAAAACCGAATCACATTGCAACCTCACGATTATGAAGCAATTTCAGAATTAAAAACAACGAATTATTTTGCACAATTTACGCACCAAACACTATGTCTAAGACAAAGTGATGGGGATGGGGTGATTTCAACAGTGACGTTCAGCCTATTAAATGTAACAGCTTCAAAGAAGCGTGTGCCAGACAGTTTTTTGGCGCGCATAAGTTTTGTGATTGGTTGGCACTTTAACTCGAGGGGCAAATCATTCTAAAGTAATTTGTAATAGAGAAAGTAATTTACGTGTAAAAATCTCGATTACTTTTGAAAAGTAATCGAGATTTTTACACGTAAATTACTATCTCGATTACTTTCTCTATTACAAATTACTTTAGAGTGATTCGCCCCTCGCTTTAACTCTTATGAAAATTACAAAACTCGAAGCAGGTTGCTTTTTATGCCGACGAGCGCATACACAATGCCATTGTCAAAGTGGCTGTGTGAGAAATGTTTCCAAACACGCTCTCGTTCGTGTTCCAAATTTTGTCGCACTCTTCGCTCATTTAAGATGAATGATTTTTGAAAAAGCCAAAGATGGAAAACAATGTGAAGAAGTTTGCCGTTGATTTGTTTGTTGAATTACACTCGAATGATGAAGCAATTTTCGTCATTTCGTTTGACTTTCGTTATGGTATGCCCTTAAATGATGCATCGCTTGCTGCTGCTGTTGCTGTCTCGCGCTTCAAATGCAGAACTTTTTTGGAAACGGAACGAAAGATGAAACAAAAAAAAAAACCAATCGAAAATCCAATTCTCTTGCCTCCAGAAGATGGAAACAATGAACACGGGGCCGAAAATAAACTCATTGAAAACTATGCGCGGAATTTCGAAAACCAAAAACACACTTACACTCAGAAATTGAATCCGTCTCGTCACACGGAATACTCGGAAATGTGGTCTGATTGAAAGAAGAACCTGATTCATTCAGTCGGCTGGGCCAGGAGCACAATGCACAGAAACCGAATATTGGTTCAAGTATGCTATTGTGTTGAATCAAGTGTTTGTTGCTGGGCCATTGTTCGAAAAATAAATTTCAAGGCCAATGCAACGAAAACATACACACACACACACACACACACACATCAGCTCAATGATAATTTCACACTTCAAATAGCCGGCAGATGCAATTTGATTATTCTATTCCAACAAAATCGTCGTCCACCGTCCAACGATGAGAAAATGACAACCAAAAATACTACAACGATGACACTACTGGCCGTTTTCCATACGCCATTCCGTTGCTGGTTGTTGTTCAGTTTATCTCATCGAAATAGTTATGCAAAAAATGTGTGCGAAAAGTTATGCCAAAATTTGATTATGCTAATACTTGGTGCCAAAATTGTACGAAATGCAAACAGTGCACAGTGCACACTGAGAATGCGAAACGTATACATGCTTGGACTAGTGGCGCACGGTAATGGACTTTTTCCGAATGTAAATATCCTCCCAACGAAATAATTTCGACCAAAAACGAGTTGAAGTTTTTTTTCTCAACATTTCACTCCCTTTTGTTGTCTTTTGCTGGGAAGTGACGTGGCACACACACTGGACGACACAGACAAAGGAAGTGCCAGTGACCCAAAATGAAAAACGCCACATAATTTCATTTTTACTCTGTCATCTCGAGTGGAAACGTGTTTTGAGTGAAACAGAGTTATGGAATGCGGTGAGGTGTATGGGTTTGGGTGTGTGTTTAATTTGGAATATTAAAATAGGAATAAATTCAAATACTACACAAAATAACACAGATGAAGAAGTTGACCACGGTTGAACCGAGTGAGTATGAGAATGAGTGGCACTTCATCCCGTATATTGCATCATCAATTGCAACGGAATGTCAGAAGTCAGATATCTCTTTCTTTCTTTCATCAGACTGTTTTCTATTTCAGCAATTCAATCTCTTGTTCTCTCTCTCTCTCTCTCTCTCTCTCTCTCTCTCTCTCTCTCTCTCTCGGCAAAATGTGTTAATTTATGCAAGACACCCTCAAATAGCCGAAATGAATGCGCAATAACATTCTAATTGAATTCGCACCAAAAAATAAGCAAAACAATCGCAGAGTTGTGAACAATCTATTTTTTGCAGGTTAATGCAATAAATTGAATGTTCCTTCCATTCTCTTGTCGTCATTGAAAAGATAAACAATGTGCGAGAAAATGTTTGTATGAAGATTTATATCAAAAGAAGAAGAAAAAGCAGACTTGCATCCAGGCGTTATTGCATGGAATTTGTGTGAATGAAAAAAAAAATGCAATTGTTCGGACTCTTTATAAGCATGAATTCAGCACGATATTGTAATATAAACTGAAAATGAGCGCATTAATGTTTAAGTTTAAATGGGCAAATGATCGCATGTGTGTGCGTACGTGTATGTTTGGGTTTTTGTGTGCGGCATTTGTAAAATTATGCAAAACAACATATTCTGGCTGTGGCTGCGTAGTATGAGAATGAGTGAGAATAAGCATCAAATGTGTAGTGGCCATAAAGACCGCATGGCTGGAGAGAGTAGAAAGAAGGCGAATATGAAAAAAATGCGCGGGCGGTTGAGCTGCCGACACAAGTGAATGCAAATGAAGATGCTGGAATTAGGGAATGGCATTTAACACCGACATTCATCAAAACAATAAGCATAGCGATTGACAAAAAAAACCACACATACACACACACTCGAGTGTATGTTCTTGCTGCGTGTTTTCATATGAAATTCATGTGCGTATGCAGCGAGCAGCAGCAGGAACCGAACAAGAGAGTGATGGAAGTATGTTTCGATGAACATGCAATTGCCATATGCTGTTTTTGTGTATTCACACACCCCGGCACCGTCGCCGACTCTTTTGCATATCATCTCATATGCGAATAAATATATGTTGAAGAAGAAAAAGGCTGTGCATGTATGTGTCAATGGCATGGCATGGCGGGATATATTAACACAAACTATGAAATGGTAAATTTGTTTATTGTGCACATTACGGTTTTCAGTGGATTCCACGACCGGTGTCGGATGCCAGGCTCGGAAATAAGCGCGCCCGCCCGCTCACTCAATTCTCGGACACACAAAAACCAAAAGCGCTAAAACAGAAACGACACAGAGAGAAAAAAAATAATGAACGTGAATGGTACTAAGAGACATGGGGCAAAAGCCCTCCCGAAATAAAGAAACCAAACAAACGTTTTAAAACCATGCAAAACGACCGAAGCCAAGACACAAACGAAACAGCACACAGAAGAAGAAGCAGCAAACAAAAAAGTAGCAACAACACTGAAAATAAAATAACATAAAGCTGGAAACATCGACGCAAAAAAAAATACAAATACACGGTCAGAAAACGGCTGAAAGAGAGCGAGAGAGAAATGAACAAAACGCCAAATTACACATTCAAAACCGTGGTCGATATAGAACAAGACAGAGGGAATTGGGACGCATTTGTGGCATATTCACACACTCTCCCAGTCGAAAATGAACGAACGAACAACAACAACAACAACAACAAAAAACGGCAAACCGAAGCACGGTTGATAAGCGCGTATTCACAATACATATATTCGGTTTTCTCTCACACACAACGCTCAGGTCCAATGAAGAGCACACATACGCACAACGACGACTATGTTTGTATAACACACTGAGGCCCCAGCTCTTAAAAAGATATGCAATGTTTAAGCGCACATTTGAACTAACAAAGCGACTCATTTTCGGCTACAGTAACACACGGCAAAACTTATTTATTATAATTATCGTCATCGCCGTCGCCATCGTCATTGTCGTTGTATTGCTGCCGCTGCCGCCGTCGTCGTTGTCGTAGTGAATTGTTATTGTTGCTGTTGCTCATCGTTGATCGCGCACGCGAGAGAGAGGCACACACCGAGCTAACGTGTGCTTGCGAAATGTTGAAAACGTAGAAATGTGGAGGCATATAACATGTTGGTTTTTATGGTCGCATTAAGTTACACACATAAATATATCTTTCATACAACCCCGCACCTTTATGCTCTCTTTCTCCGCCAGGTTGAGTGAGTCCCGCTTCATCGTTGCCGTCGTCATCGCTGTCGTTTTCTTCTCTTTTTTTTTCCTTTAATTCGTCGTCTTTTCTCTCTTGCTCGTTCTTTCTTTCTCTCTTGCACGTGGTGAACCTATTCTCTTTCGCACTGTGCTTGCTGTGCCATGTTGTGTGTTATGTGCGTTGCTATTAGTTCATTTTTTTTGTTCTTTTATTTCGTACAATTTTTTGGTTTGGTTTGGGTTTTGTCTTGATTTTTCCCCGTCTTCAGTTTTCGTTTAATGATTATATTCTCTGTTTTAAGTTTTTTTTTCTCGGTTGCCTTGTAATACACTCGGAAACAGGCGATAGCCACAACAATAAAATAAAATACGAAATACGGCAAAAATTTCTTGTTTCCCATTTCATTTATTTCGCATATCATTTGCTTATAGTAATATGCGCACGGCTCACTTTTTTTGCATATATTGCGCTTATGAACGTTCTGTCATTCTGGTTCTCCGGCTCTCTTGGTTTTGGATGGTTTTCTCTCTGTGTGTCTCTCTCTCTCTCTTGTTGTTTGCTGTATCCATTCTTCGGATCGACTTATTTGTCAATTTTGAGTTTGTATTTGTTTCAGTGGTCTGCAAAATGGGGAATAATGTGTGTATGTGCATAAAAATTGCAATATGTACAAAACTCGATAATAGCATCATTTTGCCAAGTTTTGTTTGTTCAACGAAAACAGTTTGTCGCCCGCTTTCTCTCTCACTTATGCGACGGAAAAATTATTATATGCATTTGTTGCACAGCAAAATTACGATGACGACGACAACGAAGTCGGTTGTCGCTTTTTTGGTCTATTAATTTGCAATACACAAAACTCGTGAGTGAG